TATTCTACTGGACTGATTACTTGTTTTTATTAAAAATGCCTATCCCGTTTCTACTGTCGTTTACTTCTCTCCAATTCTGATGGATGATTATGATAAAAGGGTAACTGTTTCAAAACACAACGGCCCGAATTCACAAAGGAGGTTTGTCGACAAACCTTGGTTTTCGTGCGTCATATGACGCGTTTCGACGCGTTTTTACAAACTAGGTTTGTAAAAAATGCGTCAAAACGCGTCATATGACGTACATAAACCTCGGCACGGTCGTCAAATTTCCTTTGTGAATCGGGCCAGAATATGCAAATCCACGCTATGAATAGTTCAGAGGGATCATTATATGATGCGTCAGACACATGAGCGCATGATTTATGTACCGTTTTCTACAATGTGTGCATAATAGACCTTTTTGATTTACCTGAACAGACTTATGGCATATCCCGCATAGAAAATCCTTAACCATTAGGTATGTAATTTATAGATCATGAAAAGATTAAACAACTAAAAGATATTTCAGGATCAAAGAACAAGGACGTTGAAGTTCTAGCAATGCACCACGCTGAATAGAAGCACTGAGATATCAGGCACTATAAAGTAGATGCTTAAATCATTTCAAGTCACATATGCATTTCATTGTTTTTAATGTACAATTAGTAAAGAATACCAAACAATATTGATCATAATTATAAATCACAACTTATTACTCTGATATAATCTTTTCCTATTATCAATAACATTATGATACACAACAAGAACTGTTTACAAAGTGAAAATATCTGAGCGATTTTTCCCATTTGCGGAGGTAAACAAAGAAATAAACTAGATGGAAGTTTACAAACCAAAAAGCAATTTCTCATATACATATATGACCCTTTGATCTTTGACCTCATGACCCTAAAATGTACTCAGTTCATTGGCTCTGCAAGATGTCCTGAGTTAAATAGTAATCCATCTGTCAGTTCTAATGTGAATGCGTTCACAAGCTATTTTTGCATACATAATGAGCCCATGACATTTGACCTTTGACCTCATGACCCAAGAATCTACACAGTTCATTGGCTCTGCAAGATACATACATGATCTAAGTTTGGCAGGAATCCATCAATCTGTTCTAATGATAATGCGATCACAAGTTATTTTTTGCATACATTATGAGCCGCATGACCTTTGACCTTGACCAAGACCCCAAAATCTAATCAGTTCATCGGCTCTGCAAGTAACATACATGACCTAAGTTTGGCAGGAATCCATCAATCGGTTCTTGAGATAACGCGATCACGAGCTGTTTTTGCATACATAATGAGCCCTGTGACCTTTGACCTTTGACCTCGTGACCCCAAAATCTATTCAGTTCATCGGCTCTGCAAGATACACACATGACCGAAGTTTGGCAGGAATCCATCAATCGGTTCTTCAGATAACGCGATCACGAGAACGGGACGTACGGACGGACGGACGGACGGACGGACGGACAACCCGAAAACATAATGCCTCCGGCTACTTCGTAACGGAGGCATAAAATAAGTGGTCACGCGCGTCTTGTTTAGAGCCCATCATAAGCCTTATTTTGCTTCAAAACCGTCCAGCTGGTTCAACCTGTGACGGAGGTAAGATTTCTTCAAACCTCCTACCTTTCAACTCGGGCTTCGCATCTCCATTCAATCACCAATGAAAAGTCACAATGTTCATTTTTAATTCAATGGCCTTCATTGTAGATTCAAAGCGAGGAACTGACGAACAAACTTTGCTCTAAGAATCAATCTATCTTCCAAAATAACAAAAATGTGAATCAAGCAATAGTGTCGATCGAAAAGAAGAATGTTAAAAACTGTAAGTCTCTAAAAACACTGAGTCGGGGGCTCTACATCAGTCGCGAACGCATTTGCGGGGGTGTTTGCGGGGGTTGACCCCCTGTCAATTTTTTACTTTTTTTGCTCAAGGGTAGGGGAGAGGTTGTGCTGCATGAAAAGAAATAAATGCTCCTTTACTCCCTCCCCCCTCCAAATGAGCGAAATATTGGTCGACGCGATTTTTCCTATTTGCGGGGGCAAATAAAAATTTAGAAAATGAGTGGTCACTACCCCCCCCCCCCCTCCCGCCCACTGAGCAAAATGACAGTCGACGCGATTTTCCAATTAACAGATTACCAAACAATATTGAGCATCATTATCAAATCACAACATATTACTCTGATCTCTTCGTTTGGTCTTATCGATTACATTGTGATACACAACAAGAAATATTTACGAAGTGTGCGTTTTGTTTTGTTTTGTTTTTGTTTGTTTTTATAAGTCCAACCTATCTGGTTTACGGATGTGACATTTTGTACGACGGAGGTTTTGCTCTGTGTATTGCTGTCGTTCTTTGTGACGCTTGTGTAATTCGGTCTGGGTTATTTTCTTAGGTGACTTAGACGTGGGTGTGTTTGGTATGACTTCGCCATTCAAGGCTTTTGTGATAGTGTCTCTGCATTAGAGACATTTAGATTTGCACGTCGACATAGTGGTCTGCTACGTGTAAAGTTATTTTATGGCACTGTATTGACGTCACTACATTAGCACCATTTTGTTTCATCTGAAGAATGTTACCGAGTCTCTTTAAAATATCATCAATGACTCAACTACAAGACTTCCTATCCAGTCTGCATACATGACTTTATGTTTTGTCAGAAAAGCCTCCATAAAATCCTGAATGGTGAAAGGTGTCGTGGTCGAGTGGATATGTCAATTTAAAAAAGTTTCGAAAATTCCCGCGCATTTTAATTTGAGCCCATATGCCTTATTTTGCTTCAACGCCGTCATTATTTCTGCAAAGGTTATTATCAAAGGATGGTTTCTAAATGCTTTTGAATCTTTTGGACTTTAAGCAATTCAATTACACACAAAAGGTTATACATGTAAAAACGGCACGGTCCATCCGTTCAGGGACGTGATAGAGAAGGACAGGAATCAAGCCGCTCTCCTTTGACCCCATGCTCCAAGCCGCCGAAAAGTTATGCGCTAATCTGCAACTGTTGACCAGGTGGTGAGATAAAAGAGCGCATGAAATTTCAGGATTTAGAATTCCTACATCAGAAAATGGTATCACTGCAACTGTTCGCTGTCCCTTCCAATGATTTCTCATCCATTGTTGAATGTGTAAAGAGTAGAACAAGCGAACACAAACTTGTGTACTTTCATCCTTTTTTAAACTTGAAAAATACAAAAAACACGCGAAAACACGCATTAGCAAACTTAATGTTATTGAAGATTGTAAATCATGGATCAAATAACGGGACATTAAAGCATGCACTCATTAGCGCATCATCCTAAAATGTTGAGTTTTTGACAGGATGTAATTTTTCTTTTACCAACTCTGGCACACAAATTAAAGGAAGGACGGAGTTCTAAATTTGAAAATTTGTTTGATGCACTATTCCCAATAAAATCCCCATATAAAGTTTTTGATTTACACTGAAATTTTGCCGGTAATTTAATATTTTGTAATAAATGTAAAACTGGTGCCTGGCTTCCGAAATTCCCCTCAGTGGAAGCGCGGTTCGGAGCATGGAACTTCAAAGCCAAGTGGAATGTTACACATCCCATTGTTACGCTTTAGAACTCAAGAATGCGTTTGAATAAATTACAAGAGTTTCGCCTCCTTTTCTTTCACCTCCCTGAACTGCTCAATGAAAGTCAATGACGACAATAGACTGTTTTTACTTTGTCCTGAGGTTATGTTCATATTTATAACAAAAACGGAATAGCGACTCGGTTTGAAACTAATAAATGATTAGTAGAAAATTGGTTTAATGATATTGTAGTCCTACCTTTCAACTCAGGCTTCGCATCTTCATTCGATCAACAATGAAAATTCACAATGTTAATTTTAGTTCATTGGCCTTTATTAGTTGATTCAAAGCGAGGAACTGACGAACAAACTTTGCTATGAGAATCATTCTATCTTCCAAAAAAACAAAAGTGTCAATCAAGCTACAGATTCGATCAAAAAGTAGTATGTTGAAAACTGAAAGTCTCCAATAACACTGAGTCGGGGGCTCTACATCAGTCGCGAACGCATGGGTGGGGGGGGGGATTAAAACCCACCTTAATTTTTCTTTGCTCAATAGTGTGGGAGGGGTTGTGCTGCATGAAATAGAATTAATGCTCCTTACTCCTCCCCCCCCCCCCCCAACTGAGCGAAATATTGGTCGAGGCAATTTTCCCATTTGCTGGGACAAACAAAGAAATAATAATTAGTGGTCACTACCCCCCCCCCCCCCCCCCCCCCTCCTGCCCTTCCTATCCACTGAGCAAAATATCAGTCGACGCGATTTTTCAATTTACAGTTTACCAAACAATATTGAGCATAATTATCAAATCACAACAAATTACTCTGATCTCATCTTTTCGTCTTATCAATTACATTATGATACATAACAAGAACTATATACAAAGTGTGTTCTGTTTGTTTTAATAAGTCTTACTTATCTGGTTTACGGATATGACGTTTTGAACGACGGAGGTTTTGCTCCGTGTATTGCTGTCGTTCTTTGTGACGTTTGTGTAATTGGGTCTGGGTTATTTTCTTAGGTGACTGAGACGTGGGTGTGTTTGGTATGTCTTCGCTTGTCAAGGATTTTGTGATGGTGTCTCTGCATTAGGGACTTTTAGATTTGCACGTCGATTTGGTGGACTGCTTCGTGGGTCGTTATTTTAAGGCACTGCATTGGCGTCACTACCTTAGCACCATTTTGTTTCATCTGAAGAATGTAACCGAGTCCCTTTAAAATATCATCAATGACTTAACTACATGACTTCCTATCCAGTCTGCATACATGACTTCATGTTATGTCTGGAAAGCCTCCATAAAGAGGCTGAATGGGGAAAGGGTCGTGGTCGGGTGGATATGTCAATTTAAAAAAGTTTCGAAAATTCCCGCGCATTTTAATCTGAGCTCACATGCCTTATTTTGCCTCAACACCGTCATTATTTCTGCAAAGGTTATTATCAAAAGATAGTTTCTAAATGCTTTTGGATCTGTTGGACTTAAGTAATTCAATTACACACAAAAGGTTATACTTTTAAAAAAGGCACGGTCTATCCCTTTGAATCTTGGTACACTTATATTATCGCCTCAAATAGTCCGAAACTGCTCAATGAATGTCAATAACGACAGGAAGCCGTTTTTACTTTGTCCTGAAGTTATGTTCATATCTATGAAAACGGAATGGCGACTCGGTTTGAAACTAATAAATGATTAGTAGAAAATTGGTTTAATGATATTGTAGTCATCGTAACTCATCATCATCACAGGCGTTATTAATACAGTCATCTTTATGATTATCACCATCATCATCGTGTTCAGGTACTTTTTAGTCGTTCTTATTGAAATTCAAAGAACTTAAATACAGACCATCTCATACTTGTTCATAATTGTCATTGGCTCTTTACAGTCACCTGTACCGATAACGCGGGTTGCCAGGACGGAAAGACTTGTGAATCGGGTACGTGCACCTGTCCAGCTGGTTCAACCTGTGACGGAGGTGACGGAGGTAAGATTTCTTCAAACTTCCTACCTTTCAACTCAGGCTTCGCATCTTCACTCGATCACCAATGAAAAATCACATTGTTAATTTTAGTTCATTGGCCTTTATTAGTTGATTCAAAGCGAGGAACTGACGAACAAACTTTGCTATAAGAATCATTCTATCTTCCATAAAAACAAAAGTGTCAATCAAGCTACAGTGTCGATCAAAAAGTATGTTGAAAACTGAAAGTCTCCAATAACACTGAGTCGGGGGCTCTACATCAGTCGCGAACGCATGGGTAGGGGGGGGGGGGATTAAAACCCACCTTAATTTTTCTTTGCTCAATAGTGTGGGAGGGGTTGTGCTACATAAAATAGAATTAATGCTCCTTACTCCTCCCCCCCCCCCCCCAACTGAGCGAAATATTGGTAGAGGCAATTTTTCCATTTGCTGGGACAAACAAAGAAATAATAATTAGTGGTCACTACCCCCCCCCCCCCCCCTCCTGCCCTTCCTATCCACTGAGCAAAATATCAGTCTACGCGATTTTTCAATTTACAGCTTACCAAACAATATTGAGCATAATTATCAAATCACAACATATTACTCTGTTCTCATCTTTTCGTCTTATCAATTACATTATGATACACAACAAGAACTATATACAAAGTGTGTTCTGTTTGTTTTAATAAGTCTTACTTATCTGGTTTACGGATATGACGTTTTGAACGACGGAGGTTTTGCTCCGTGTATTGCTGTCGTTCTTTGTGACGTTTGTGTAATTGGGTCTGGGTTATTTTCTTAGGTGACTGAGACGTGGGTGTGTTTGGTATGTCTTCGCTTGTCAAGGATTTTGTGATGGTGTCTCTGCATTAGGGACTTTTAGATTTGCACGTCGATTTGGTGGACTGCTTCGTGGGTCGTTATTTTAAGGCACTGCATTGGCGTCACTACCTTAGCACCATTTTGTTTCATCTGAAGAATGTAACCGAGTCCCTTTAAAATATCATCAATGACTTAACTACATGACTTCCTATCCAGTCTGCATACATGACTTCATGTTATGTCTGGAAAGCCTCCATAAAGAGGCTGAATGGGGAAAGGGTCGTGGTCGGGTGGATATGTCAATTTAAAAAAGTTTCGAAAATTCCCGCGCATTTTAATCTGAGCTCACATGCCTTATTTTGCCTCAACACCGTCATTATTTCTGCAAAGGTTATTATCAAAAGATAGTTTCTAAATGCTTTTGGATCTGTTGGACTTAAGTAATTCAATTACACACAAAAGGTTATACTTTTAAAAAAGGCACGGTCTATCCCTTTGAATCTTGGTACACTTATATTATCGCCTCAAATAGTCCGAAACTGCTCAATGAATGTCAATAACGACAGGAAGCCGTTTTTACTTTGTCCTGAAGTTATGTTCATATCTATGAAAACGGAATGGCGACTCGGTTTGAAACTAATAAATGATTAGTAGAAAATTGGTTTAATGATATTGTAGTCATCGTAACTCATCATCATCACAGGCGTTATTAATACAGTCATCTTTATGATTATCACCATCATCATCGTGTTCAGGTACTTTTTAGTCGTTCTTATTGAAATTCAAAGAACTTAAATACAGACCATCTCATACTTGTTCATAATTGTCATTGGCTCTTTACAGTCACCTGTACCGATAACGCGGGTTGCCAGGACGGAAAGACTTGTGAATCGGGTACGTGCACCTGTCCAGCTGGTTCAACCTGTGACGGAGGTGACGGAGGTAAGATTTCTTCAAACTTCCTACCTTTCAACTCAGGCTTCGCATCTTCACTCGATCACCAATGAAAAATCACATTGTTAATTTTAGTTCATTGGCCTTTATTAGTTGATTCAAAGCGAGGAACTGACGAACAAACTTTGCTATAAGAATCATTCTATCTTCCATAAAAACAAAAGTGTCAATCAAGCTACAGTGTCGATCAAAAAGTATGTTGAAAACTGAAAGTCTCCAATAACACTGAGTCGGGGGCTCTACATCAGTCGCGAACGCATGGGTAGGGGGGGGGGATTAAAACCCACCTTAATTTTTCTTTGCTCAATAGTGTGGGAGGGGTTGTGCTACATAAAATAGAATTAATGCTCCTTACTCCTCCCCCCCCCCCCCCAACTGAGCGAAATATTGGTAGAGGCAATTTTTCCATTTGCTGGGACAAACAAAGAAATAATAATTAGTGGTCACTACCCCCCCCCCCCCCCTCCTGCCCTTCCTATCCACTGAGCAAAATATCAGTCTACGCGATTTTTCAATTTACAGCTTACCAAACAATATTGAGCATAATTATCAAATCACAACATATTACTCTGTTCTCATCTTTTCGTCTTATCAATTACATTATGATACACAACAAGAACTATATACAAAGTGTGTTCTGTTTGTTTTAATAAGTCTTAATTAACTGGTTTACGGATATGACGTTTTGAACAACGGAGGTTTTGCTCTGTGTATTGCTGTCGTTCTTTGTGACGTTTGTGTAATTGGGTCTGGGTTATTTTCTTAGGTGACTGAGACGTGGGTGTGTTTGGTATGTCTTCGCTTGTCAAGGATTTTGTGATGGTGTCTCTGCATTAGGGACTTTGAGATTTGCACGTCGATTTGGAGGACTGCTCCGTGGGTCGTCATTTTAAGGCACTGCATTGGCGTCACTACCTTAGCACCATTTTGTTTCATCTGAAGAATGTTACCGAGTCCTTTTAAAATATCATCAATGACTTAACTACAAGACTTCCTATCCAGTCTGCATACATGACTTCATGTTATGTCAGGAAAGCCTCCATAAAGAGGCTGAATAGGGAAAGGTGTCGTGGTTGAGTGGATATGCCAATTTAAAAATATTCGAAAATTCCCGCGCATTTTAATCTGAGCCCATATGCCTTATTTTGCCTCAACACCGTCTTTATTTCTGCAAAAGTTATTATCAAAAGATGGTTTCTTAATGCTTTTGGATCTGTTGGACTTTAAGTAATTCGATTACACACAAAAGGTTATACTTTTAAAAAAGGCACGGTCCATCCCTTTGAATCTTGGTACTCTTATATTATCGCCTTAAATAGTCCGAAACTGCTCAATGAATGTCAATAACGACAGGAAGCCGTTTTTACTTTGTCCTGAAGTTATGTTCATATTTATAACAAAAACGGAATAGCGACTCGGTTTGAAACTAATAAATGATTAGTAGAAAATTAGTTTAATGATATTGTAGTCATCGTAACTCATCATCATCACAGGCGTTATCAATACAGTTATCTTTATGATTATCACCATCATCATCGTGTTCAGGTACTTTTTAGTCGTTCTTATCGTAATTAAAAGAACTTAAATACAGACCATCTCATACTTGTTCATAATAGTCATTGGCTCTTTACAGTCACCTGTACCGATAACGCGGGTTGCCAGGACGGAAAGACTTGTGAATCGGGTACGTGCACCTGTCCAGCTGGTTCAACCTGTGACGGAGGTGACGGAGGTAAGATTTCTTCAAACTTCCTACCTTTCAACTCAGGCTTCGCATCTTCATTCGATCAACAATGAAAAATCACAATGTTAACTTTAGTTCATTGGCCTTTATTAGTTGATTCAAAGCGAGGAACTGACGAACAAACTTTGCTATAAGAATCATTCTATCTTCCAAAAAAACAAAAGTGTCAATTAAGCTATAGTGTCGATCAAATGGAGTATGTTGAAAACTGTAAGTCTCCAATAACAGTCGGGGGCTCTACATCAGTCGCGAACGCATGGGTAGGGGGTGGTTGTTTTGGGCCTAAAACCCACCTCATTTTGATTTTTTTTTGCTCAAAAGTGGAGTAGGGGTCGTACTGCATAACAAAAAATAATGCTCCTTACCCCTCCCCCCCCCCCCAACTGAGCGAAATATTGGTTGAGGCGGTATACCCATTTGCTGAGACAAACAAAACTTTAATAATTAGTGGTCACTACCCCCCCCCCCCCCCCCCCCCTCGCCCCTCCTCGCCACTGAGAAAAATATCAGTCGACTCGATTTTCCAGTTTACATATTACCAAACAATATTGAGCATAATTATCAAATTACAACATATTACTCTGATCTTATCTTTTCGTCTTATCAATTACATTAAAATACACAACAAGAACTATTTTCGAAAGTGTGTTTTGTTTGTTGTTATAAGTCCAACCTATCTCGTTTACGGATATGACGTTTTGAACAACGGAGGTTTTGCTCTGTATATTGCTGTCGTTCTGTGCGACGTTTGTGTAATTGGGTCTTGGTTATTTTCTTAGGTGACTTAGACGTGTGTGTGTTTGGTAAGTCTTTGCTTGTCAAGGACTTTGTGATGGTGTCTCTGCATTAGGGACTTTGAGATTTGCACGTCGATTTGGAGGACTGCTCCGTGGGTCGTTATTTTAAGGCACTGCATTGGCGTCACTACCTTAGCACCATTTTGTTTCATCTGAAAAATGTTACCGAGTCCTTTTAAAATATCATCAATGACTTAACTACAAGACTTCCTATCCAGTCTGCATACATGACTCCATGTTATGTCAGGAAAGCCTCCATAAAGAGGCTAAATGGGGAAAGGTGTCGTGGTCGAGTGGATATGTCAATTAAAAAAAGTTTCGAAAATTCCCGGCATTTTAATCTGAGCCCATATGCCTTATTTTGCTTCAACACCGTCATTATTTCTGCAAAGGTTATTATCAAAGGATCGTTTCTAAATGCTTTTGAATTTTTTGGACTTTAAGTAATACAATGACACACAAAATGTTATACATTTAAAAACGGCACGGTCCATCCCTTTGAATCTTGGTACACTTATATTATCGCCTCAAATAGTCCGAAACTGCTCAATGAATGTCAATAACACCGTCATTCTCTACACAGGTAATTATCAAAGAATAGTTTCCAAATGTTTTTGAATCTTTCGGACCTTTAATAATTCAACTACATACATAAGGTTATACATCTAAAAACGGCACGGTCCATCCCTTTGAAGCTTGGTACACTTATCGTCTCAATTGGTCCGAAACTGCTCAATGGATGTCAATGACGACATTATATGCTTTTACTTTGTCCTGAAGTTATGTTCATATCTAAACAAAAAAACGGGAGAGCGACTTGGTTTGAACTTAAGTTTGAAGTATAAACTTGATATATTGACATTGTAGTCATCGTAATTTATTATCACCACAGTCGTTATCAATACACTTATCTTTATAATTATCACCATCATCATCATCGTGTTCAGGTTCTTTTAGTCGTTCTCATTGTCATACAGACCATCTCATACTCAGGCACGTATCCACGATGGGGGGGGGGGGGGGGGGGGGGGGGGGGGGGCGGGGGGATTCAACCTTCAACTCAGGCTTCGCATCTCCATTTGATCATCAATGAAAAGTCACAATGTTAACTTTAGTTCATTGGCCTTTATTAGTTGTTTCAACGCGAGGAACTGACGAACAAACTTTGCTATAAGAATCATTCTATCTTCCAAAATAACAAAAGTGTCAAGCAAGCTACAGTGTCGATTAAAAAGGAGAATGTTGAAAACTGTGAGTCCGGGGCGGCAACGCTTTTTATTAAAACACAATTCATTTAGTTCTGTCCGAAAGGGGAGACAGGGGTTATACACAAAGGAATAACACTATGGAAGAAAAAGGACGAAATTTGAATGAAGAAATATAAGACCGTTCCAAAGATCAGAACAATCCTCATTTTAACATATTTTTTTATAACGATATTTCTGGAATATCCGCTCACAACTTTGACATCTCACTAACCCTTTGGGACTCTGCCCTATTTTCCAAAGGGTATTGGAAACGTTCAGTACCCCCCTTCCCCTCCTGAATCACGTAGCAAGGTATGGAAACTAATGATATGGTCACAAATCAGAGCGACAACCAACTGATTAGTTGCCTGCTCGGTCCCCGCTGGAATTTAGGCATCGCCCAGCGATTTTTGGAGAAGTCGACCAGGCTGTAAAGCCCTAGCGATGCATGGGAGGTGCCCTGTCGATCTCCCGTCGGTCGCCGGTCGATTTTAAGTCAAAACTGGGCGAAATCGCGGAACTTTTCCGCGCGGTGTCCCGGCAGTGACCCACCGGTCACCCACCCATTCCCGAGCAGTCTCCCACCGGCTGCCGACTGAATTTAAAGATATTGCACGGCGGCCGGCCAGTGATCGGCGCCGGCTCCAAAATACGCTCGGTGCCCGGCCGTTCGCCGCCCGGGCACCGAACTAATCGAGCGTTCGCCGCCGAGCGAGTTAGGTCAAAAATCGAAGCCGCTAGGTCAAAGGCTGCCGACCGATTTTGGACTCGCCGACCAGTGACTGACTGATCTCCCAGCGGCGACCGAGCGGCGACCGGGCGGCGACTGCTTGACAGCCTTTGACCTAGCGACTTCGATTTTTGACCTAAATCGCTCGACGATGAACGCTCGATTAGGTCGGAGCCCGGGCGGCGACCGCCCGGTCACCGAGCGTAGTTCGGGCGGCAAGTGAAAGTGAGCAGGCGCCGCCCGAATTTTAACTACTGGGCGGCCGCCGCTCGGTGGCCGGGGAAAATTGGCTAAAACTCGCCGCTCGGCCGCCAAGCAGGCTACTTTTGGGTTATTTGACCATAGCATTAATTATGTATTGTCTGTAGATCATATCAATAATGATACCTTATCAAACTTCCATCACTACAGCAACTACCCCGGCCACAAGAATGCAAGGGGTAAGTGAAATGAAATCTTGTAATGCTTGATGGGGAGAGGCTTTTTTCGATATTGTACACATTTGTTGCAACTATGTATATGTCTTTACCAACAATAATGACCTAAAATATATAATTCTTTGTTAGGAAGGTCTATGAAAGAGATTTTGTAAGAAAAAACTTTGTACTTGTTGCCTACAGACTACAACTAGTTGATATTCTGGGGGCCGAGCGGACCTCCCCCCCCCCCCCCTGGCAACAATAAAAGTCACGCAAAAAAAAAAAAAAAAAGTATTTACCTTTTCTTTTTTGCCCCCCCCCCCCCCCCCCCCCCCCCACTGAGCTTAATATCGGCTGGCACAAGTTTCAAGTTTCCAGGGGCAACAAAAAATATATATATTTTCAAATTTCAGCACACTAAATTTTAAATTGATTTCAAAATAGGGCCTCCCCCTAAGAAATTCTGGATCCGCGCCTGGCTAAGAAAATATTTGATAATTCTGCTGTTTACATTTTTTTACACTAAACACATTTTGTATCAATACAGTTTTGGTTCACCTTTGATGTGGAACAAGGAATGGATAGTATTTGGTCATTTTTAGCGATACATGCTGACCACCTATCCAAGTATAATATAATTAGATACTACATTCTTTCCATATCTTTGAAATTAATACCATGTGCATTTAAATTTTCCTTGCAGACTCTTCAATGTCATTCCTGTTCGACTAACTCCATAACGGATGTTTGCTCTACTGCTGATGACCTTGCAAGCGGTTCCGGAGTATCAACTGTTACATGCTATCAAGGACAGCGTTGTTGGGTATTTGAATACTTTGACATTTACATTTCTTTACAGGGTTGATCTGGCATGTATATATAGTTTGGGTTGATGAGTGAAAATACATTGAGGAAATATCTGTAAATTGATGTTGTGAGACAGAAGACATGAATTTATACAAAATAAACGTTAATCTTAAATTTTCACCTCATCTTTATATTGTATAATTTATCGTCTTATTTATATTTTTTTAATTCTGTCTTCATATACTTGGGCAAGTTGAGGTAAGAGATAGTTTGTCTGTTTGTTTGTTTTTTGTTTTTTAATCAAAGACAAAAAAAAAGTAGATTACAAAGCAAGAGACCAGAAATAGTGGGACGTCTATCAACAACAAAAAGACAACACTATAAGTTAACTGGATGAGGGAAAGAGCCGATTTGTATTTTGAAGAAATGAAATGACGAGATGAAAATTTTACAATATCGTTAAAAAAAAGAATACTGCCACAAACACAACTAAACATGAAAGACTAAGTTACATAGCCATAATACAATTTTTGTATTTCTTGCAGACTGATCATTATGCAAACTCATCACACACGGTTGTGTCGCGTGGATGTACAGATGAGCCATGTGAAGACTTGCATGAAGGTGGTGGACCTTATTGCATTATGGCTAATGGTGTTACCAGTTGCACATCCTGTTGTACTGAATCAAAATGCAACGACAACAAATCCAACTCTGAGGGTCTCACTTGTAGCTGTGTGACATGGCTGACATCTCTTTTCTCAGTGGTCATCATGTTCATCACTTATAGAACCTAAATGAACTCAAGTGTCAAAAGCTGTTCTCATATTACCATTTATTATAACAGGCCAAAATGTGCCAAATCCATTCACAATCATAATGTTAATACATTGTATATTAACTTTGGTAATTGATGAAAGACTAATGGTTGAACAGACTAGCTCATTTTGATAAATTATACAGACAATAAGATTCTCAATGTGAAATTTGAAATATGAATTTTTAAAATTCAAATATGGCAAGCACTTATGTACTCAATGAAATGTATTTCTAATGATTAAAGTAATAATTATATCAATAACTATACTACCACTATTACTACTACTACTCATAATAATAATAATAACGATACTAACAACAACCAGGATAGTCTTGTCAGATAAACGCACGATAACGCAAAATCATATTTATTATTTATTATTGGCCACTAAGCATGTTAATAAATCAGAAAAATTAGCAATATTGCGATGTACAAATTCAAATAATAACACAGTTTAAAAAGGAAACAACTATTTCTTACAACCAAACCATCAGTGTTTGCAAAAGTAAGTAACAGACTTTTGTTTTATAAATAGGTATTGATTGAATAAAGCATTGAATTGAAAATAAATGAAATCAATTTTAGATTTGGTAAGATTTCTTCTATTGTACATATTTATCATTAGAAAAGTTTAGAATAGCTTTAATGTACTATTCACGTTAAACAAGTCTTAAAATCCGTCCTGAATTTTCTGCATGGACATATTCTTAAAAATACATTAAAATACAGAATAAAGACGTTCAAAACGATTTATAGTACCATGAAGTTTTCAAATTTTTGGTAGATTTTGTGCCCTTACCAAATATTATATAAACAATGAGTGGAAAGTATTTGATTAAATTAAATTTTGTATTATAGGAAAAAAACAATGTGACATTGTTTTTATGTGAGTTTCAACAAATTTGATAGAACACTGTTTAATATTCTAATTACATTAACATTTGAATGACACAAATGACCTGGGTATCAGGCTTCTATAGCTTGCTTCCATGATGTGTTTTCTCTTATATCAATGTAGTGTATGTATCAATCAGCTAATGATTGCCAGTACGTTTATGTAGACCTGAAAGGTATGAAAACTACTCACAAACAGACACAGGGATGTTGTAAAAATATTCGCTTTTCACTTTATCAACCAATACACAGGTAGAACACTTATGAATGAATTGTATTCATTGCCTGATAAAACTGTTTAACAGCTGGGAATGGAAATGTATTTTGTAGTCTTGGAATTGGGAGGAAGCTTCATACATGATATTTATGAGGAGCTGGTAAGATGAACACAATTGTTGTCATATTGCCCTACATAAAGGTATTGGAGGGAAAACTGCCTTAAGCACTTTACATCTGTAATCGTTATTGATTTAATACATAAAGGAAGACATTGACGAAATGAAACAAACGGATGTTTTTCATTCTATTTTCTCCATTTAACATGACCAAGGATAATTGTACTTTTAAACTATTAGAGCGCTTTAAAAGAAATAATTATTTGTCCAAGTCTGCGAGGTTAGGGGAATACCAACTGGTAGTGAATTGAGTTCATTAAGAAAAGAGATATGAAATATGCCTACAAACTAACTTACTATACCATATACTAGAAAGTTGTAGTTTAATCTTCTATTGTATAGTTTCGGATTCTATTTGGATGCACAATGTTTAGTGTTAACAGTGTCAATTTTTTTATGTATCTTCCTAACATTTTCTATGGTATGCTCTATCACCTTGATTGATTCGTCTCAACTTTGACTTTGTTGCTCTCTGTTAGAAAGCTGCTTATCTGTACAAACAAGTATGAAGTTATTGATGTTTTTGATGCAGAGCTATTTTCTTAATAATTTGATACAAATTTAACGATGGGAAAGAGTGTATTTCATTCGGGTTGTACATGTTTTTGATAATATGTCATAATGCTGAAACCACTAGAGCTTTCACATTGCAATGGATGTACATAATCTAAAATATAAGTTAAATTGTTACGTATTAATGTATTGTCAATTCATTTTCGTTTAATGTTCTAAATAAAGTTTGGATTGAGGTGTCATTAATCATAGTTAACGTGGACTTATTTCTTTTCAATAATGAAACCAAATGTTCTTACTTTATCCACTTATATGAACAAGTACGTGATCCTAGAATGTAATTGGTCTTTGGGATGAGAGCCCACAAGACCAACAATGTCGGTCTCACAGGCCTTTTGACATCTTTTTTGAGGAATCACTAAACCAACAGACCATTAGACCGACAATGTCAGTCTCGTGGACCTTCTGACAACGTTTCGAGGGTTCACCAGACTAACGCACGACGAGACTGATATTCTTTGTTAGTCTTATGGGCTGTCTGTCTACTGGGATGACCCCAATATGACCAAAGAGACCGAGAGGTCATGTAGCTGACAACCTATGAGACCAACAAATTATCAAGTTAAGATTGATGCCCATGCAAATTTTGTTTGACCAAATTGATGGTTCCTTGAAATGTCCGATCAGTCACAGAATGAATGTCTTTGTCATCTTGAAGATGCATTGTAGACGACCGATCAGTGATAGGATGACCGTCTTAAAGAATCGAGGGACTCATGTTCAATTATAGTCGTACAGGAAACGTGAAGAGCTCATCAAGCATGTCACGAATAGCACGATTTGAAGGATACAGTGACATGAGGATCTTACTCTAGCAAAAACAAATGGCCGTTCCATGGAAATTGAATCCTAAACATATAATCATTCTGAGATGCAGTGGACCCCTTGCTTGATTGGCCCACCGGAGCCCTGAGAGAGAATTTCCTTTACTTGTAAGATGTTTGGTGATGTTATTGTTCACGTTCTGGATCTAAGGTAATACATATATTATACAAATACCATTCTAGAGTCTAGCAAAAAAAAAATGAGCTAATGAAAAGGCATAAATAGTAACTTTCCCGAGGGTAAATTTATATCAATATTACCTCGAGGAAAAGTTAATAAATATGCCTCTGAAAGCTCATAGTTGCTAGAGCAAAGAAATGCATTGTTTATCTGTTTTATATCCCTCATGAGCATCTCACTATTTAAAAAACTATTATAGTACCTGCATTGTTTTCTTGCTGTAAGTATTCACCGTTTCGATTCCGAGCTCCGGCGTAGCTCTGCGAGAGAAGGAGGTCTAACTGGCTTTGTTATCCACAAGATCATCATCAAAATCGGCTTTTATTTCCTTATAAAAATCCTGAAACACAGAAAGTCCGTACCTGATCTGTTTCTTCGTGTTTTTGCTGTCACTTCCTTCATTAAATTTCAACAATGCTTCAACATTTAACTGGTGAATACGGGGGGATAGACTACAGCCAATTTGTCGAACTATGTTTTTGCAGCTGCTTTTCTCAATGAGCTATCCTACGCGCACGCGGCGCCGGAACTCTTCCGATGGCTATGTACACTATACCGGCTGAAGAAACTTCAAGCCGGAGATTTTGCTTGCGCGCTTGTTGCACTCCAAACATTGAAGAAATTTAGATCCCAGAAATATCGGTGATAGGTGAAAAACGTGGATTCCGGAATTTACTATAGCACGCCAAATAGTAAATTTTTTCACGCTCTCAAATTTATAGTGAAACCATCCTTTTTTCGTGCTCTGTACCAGAAATATTTCAACTGCTCTGAAAAGGTCTGAAAAGGTGCTATTATCTTCATTATTATGTATGGTAGTAGAATTAGTATTTGTGGGTATTTCGGGGGAGTTTGATTTTTTTATTTTTTTATATTTTTTTTAAATTAAAATTGTAAAATGTACAACAACAAAATATAATTTTGTTTTAATAATTTTAGTTTCTTTAAATTTTCAATTTTATCAAATTTTTGAAAAGTTAAAATGTTTAAAAAAGATTGTGTTAAACAACATTTTATGCAATTATTTCCTCTTTAAAAAAAAATGTTTAAGAAAATGTTGCAGGATATAAACCATTATATGCCATGCCTTCTTTTCGAGGTACTGGTTAAACTATGGGCCTCAGTGACTCCAATACTCCTATTTTCTCAGCAAATAGTGGAGTCACCTCTTGCCCGTAGTTTTAACTTGAACCTCTCAAGACAGTGTATAATATACATGTATACGTATTCCTGTTATGATCCCTTTTCAATGTCTATACATGAGTAGTAACGCGTTCATGTTTTTGTATTTGACACAGACATCCCATATCCCTATATTTATCTCCATGCATTTGGTACAAATGAATGAATCAATAAGGTCACCCAATCGCACCTATACACACACACACATACACACACGCGAGTATCATGAACCAGAAGGAATAAAACACTGCTTTAACGCACTGTAAACCCATTGGACAATATTACTGGCCAATGATTGTCCAATATTTCATTCGTTTTAGGCATGAAAGCGCGCCTCTGATTGGCTATCCATTGGTTGCCCACGTTGTATTCATGGCAATGAGAAAACAGGGGGCATGGCTTTGGTAGAAGTGATATATAAATTGTGCAGAATTATATGTTTGCTCATAATCACCTATTTCAACCTGTTAGGAACTTCTAAGGACAGATTCTATTAGGATAACATACATACCACTTACCAGAGTCAAATAGAGGTAAGTGCAATTCAGTATCATTACCGTTATCATTTCCATTTGTATTGGTTTCTCATTTACACGTGCAAGTAGTTGCCTTGTAATGACTATAGCAACGGTTGGACAGTTCTCTTTGAAGTTATTTGCAAACTTATAGCAAAAAATAACACTCGATTTTGACAAATTTAGGCTAACTTTGGTCAGTGAATACAGGCTTTGTGTCTCTTCAGGTTTTATAAAAGTACTTAAAATCAATACAGTATTCGATATATCAATACTTTTTTATTCAACCGTGAAGCCTATTTCTTTCTCCATCACAAAATCCCGATTCAGAACCTATATTCATAAGTGAACGTACGTTGGCAATCATCTTTTGTTATCATCACTCATCTGAACTCTACAGGATGATTAAATTA